TTAATGTATGTAAATATTTTGGTAATTTAAGGAATAATACTATATAAGATTAAATTTAGTCGTCAAAATGGGCGAAACGATCCTCCAGATCTCGACCATTCTAATTGGTACATTAAGGATATTTTGCTCCGACTAATAAATACGGGCAATTGACTTGCTAATTGCTGACGAATTGTCAGGTATTTATTGGCGAATTGCTTAGCCGTAGAGCACTTGGAGCTGTTGTTGCTTTGCGTTGCGGCTTTTATCTGTTCGAATATAAAATAAAGCTAGCAACTGTAGAAAGCTTCAGTATTGTCTAACCAGTCACCCAGTCACCCAGTCGACCAACTGCAATCGTTATGCGACTTTGCGCTCTTATCGCCGTCTGCCTGTTGGCACTGCTTTCCCTTGCCACCGCGGAGGAACAAAGTGAGACTTGCGGCTGTATGCGAAACTTTGAGCTGGTCTGCGGCAGCGATGGCATCACGTATCCAAATCCGTGCGAGCTCAACTGCTCCGCCAAGCGGGCTGCGCGTCACGGCAATCCTTTGACTCAGGTCAAAGCTGGGCCCTGTTAGATGCGGGAGTTACACAAGATTATACCATCTAAAGATGTGAATTGTTCGCTTCACACTACAAGTCAAATAAACTTTTTTCCGTCTATTGCAAAATTCAATCAATGTTAATTACGTTTTCTTTGCTTTGATTAAATGTGAATAACGAATTTCCGCTCGAGTTTTAAGTCACGGTGGATCTCTGGGGCTCTCGGCTTCGCAAGCCTATTAGAGTGGAATATATTGATTATTAACGCATTACTCCCTATGACAGGCTGTACGAAAAAAGAGCTAACATTTTCAAGCTAAGTTTTGGAAGGTTTTAGTCTTCTTCTACCAGTTTCCCAGAATTGATCGTCACGCAGCTGTTTGCTATTATCGCTGTCAGCTATCATATCCTATCATTGTGACGAAAGTGTCAAAGAAGTCTGCGGCAGCGATAACATAACGTATCCCAATTTGTGCGTACTCAACTGCTTCGCAGTCGCAGCTACGGCTTTTGGCGTTAACTTGACTCAAGTGCATGCAGGACCCTGTTTGATTAACGATCTCAGCTTAAAGACAATTATAAATATATGTATATCCATTTTAATAGGAAAAGTTGCACACACACACACACACTCTTTCAGCAATCCAGTAACTCTAAGAAATCATATCAGATTGTTAATTTGGATTGATCATTCGGTTGGCCTTATTCGGATGTCATAGTTTAGGCTTAATCGCTTTTGGATCCGGATGCAGATCCAGGGATTATACAATCTAAAAATGTGAACTACATTTTCATAGCTTACTTCAGAGTTAAAGCTTAAAATTTGAGGGAGAGGGAAAGAAAGAGAGAGAGAGAGAGGCAGGTATGTTCACATAGTGAAATAATATTGTTATATAAATCACATATGATATTTTTATAGATTCGAAGTTGACGTAAGAGTCGGTTTCAATATTTTAATAATCTTTTCTGGTTTTCGCCAGCTACCAACTCATTACAATATATACATAAACAGCAGAGTTCTAGCATACGTGTTTACGCCTATTTAGCACCTAAGGTGAGATAATTGCCATTTTTCCCGGTACCTCGAGTGCAAATATTTATCTGTTATATATATATTTTCAATAGATAATTTACGTTTAATATTATATTTATTCGTTGTGCTAGACAGCAAGAAATTTTCTTATACATATATATATTTAAGTGATATTTGTATATATATACATTTATACTTTATAATAGATTTGAGCTTTACCATAAATTATTGTTCATACTTGTGCTGAGTTCAACCTTCGTTATATTTATTCAACTGTTCAATAGATGTGGAACGAATTCTAATTCTAACAATAATAAGAAATTAGTTATAGTAAGAAAATATCATGAAGAAACGTCAACGTGTCTTCAAAGTGGAAAAATATCGTATGTATAATTTAGTATAAAATCAAGAAGTACAAATAGAATTACAAATACAAATATTTAAGTATATCTTTGAAAAGTTGCAAAGTAGATGATTTATTTGCTCAGGCAATGATAATGAATATATATTATATTGTATATTGTATAGCATTTTCTTCTAGTAGTTTTCTAGCTACATATGTGTTTTTATGCCGATTCAGTGGTCACAAACGCCAGCCTTGTGTATCTGAAGTGCTGTGCCCTCTGATTAATAGCTGTTTATACATTGAAGAGATAAAGTTAGTCACTATCAATAGCCACTTCGAATGGGCTCTGCTGATAAGCAAAAATATTAGACACATACAGTTATAGCTCCCCCATTGATGATTCAGAACGGCCTAAATTATTATTCCATTTATTTTGTATTTTGATTATTTTGATTATAAATTTGCGTTGGAATGAACAGATTTGAAACAGATTGAAGGTACGCTCAGCAGTCTCCGGATCTGAGCAAATCCAAGCTACGTCCAGCCCGCTCGAGTTCGCGACGTGCACAATCGTATAGACAGCGGTTTGGATAGGATATCAAGTTGCTGGCACAGACTGGATCATAGTTGCGGGGACACGGGCAGAATTGTTTCGGTAGGCCCAGCTTCATGTCCTCCGGATTGGCGCTCACACAGGCAGCCAACAGCAGGCTCAGGGCCAACAGCAATAAATTGTATTTCATTGTATTCGTACAGCAGGTTAATCCACTAGTTGCTCGATATTGATACTGACAATTGGGTTTTTTGTTTTGGCTGGGCCACTTCCATCGGCTCGCTTGTCTGCATGGCTCTTATCTTATCACAGGTGCTACGTTGTTTAGGTATTGTTTTTTTTACGCTTTTTCTCTTACTGCTTTAAATATATTTTGTTAGAGCTTTGTGCTCACATATTTGTTGAATATATTTAGGAATTTTCTAATTATTATTAGTTGTTGATGGTTTCTGCCTTCCAGTGATCAACAGCTGCTGCTTTGAATAGCGTTCGCGTTGCCAACTAATTGCATTGCCAAAAGCTCTCCCAAAAGCTTTTTGTGTACATAGAGATGCGCACGTGCCGACTCAGATAACGGCACCAATTCAAATATAAGCTTCATTCGATTATTATCAAAACAACTATCTGAACAGAAGAGATAGGTATTTTTTGATAATACTCAAAGTGAAGTTTATATATTTTAATTGGTTGAATGAATGAATATATAGTGGCATATACTTATTAAAATAAATTATAATAATAATTATACTTGATGTAATATATGAAAAATGATCACTTTCATCTTTGTATTTCTAATATTAGATGATTTATACGTATAGGGTTATATATTTTATAAAATATAATTAAAGTTAGACCTAAGTCCAAACTAGTCGACTTCAGTTTCAGTCATTTTTTATTACCTACAGCTTTACTAAAGCTTTACTTGAGGTATAAATAATAAATAAATACATACATATAAATATATATATTTCTTTCTTGTTATTGATAAGAGAAATTTAACTGTTCTTCAGGTCTTCTTTCTTCTTCTTAATTTCTTACTTCTTCTTCCATTTACTCACGCGCCCATCTCTAATATCAGTCTATCTATCAGTCTCTCTCCCTCTCTCTCTCACACACTCTCTTTTCACACTTGCTCACTGTCTTCTTATCAGCATTGACACTTCTGGAAAAGGTGCGCACTGGTTTGCCGCGATCGTGGCCGAGCCCTTGATAATCGGCAGGTGGGAAAAAGTAATTTGGCTAAAATAATAGGTGTACCTCTGTTAGTAGTTGCCTTAATGATGGCCCTCAAGGCACTCGCTCACTTCAATTTGCATTTCCATTACCATTTCCATTACAGTTTCAATTAATGGAATGCCATATTTATCGCGTATCGCGTATACATATATTCTAATTTATTTTGATGTCAATTTGTGCACTCTTTTGTTGCCCAACTAAGTAGTTTTGATAGTAATTCACTCAATTTGTAGAGCTCGGCCACTGGGGAAATCAGACTGAGCGCACGATAACTCGTTCTGTCTTAGTTGCGAAATTGGCATAGCCATGCGCATTTCGAGTCTTTGGGCTGTCCGCTTGGTAATGCTGCTGCTGTTGGTGCTCCTCTGGCTGCACAGCTGGCGGGGCACACCACAGGCGGAGGCCATCATCAATTGCCAGGCGCTGTAAATTGTTGGAGGTGCGCGAAGCCAAGGCAAACAAAACGCTAAGCAATTTCAATGAGACGAGACCACTGCAAGCAAAGTTTTCATAGAGCAGGATGGCGTGGAGGATGGAATGCGACAGATGTTTTTGTTTTTAAGTGGAAGCACACTCTTACTTGCACACACAGACACACACACCCGCGCACACACACACTATCACAATCAGAAACAAAAATAGTCAGCAATTTGTTGACTAATTAGCAAAACTGACGCATACTCAGAGACGTACTTGACGTACTCAGCCCAAGCCCCGCCGGAACACGCTCCATTCAGTTAAAAAGATTGCGTTTGCTTTGCTTTTGACGCTCAGTGTAAATTCAACGCCCGACTCGTTAAGTCGCATCTCATCAAATCTCTTAGAATCTCGCCGTATCGCACAGACTTGATATTTGACTTTTTTTTTTTTTATTATTTCGCGGCTGCTGTTTAATTAGCTGAAAGCGAAGATGAAATCTCTGAGTTTGCTGCTGCTGCTTAGCTTTGTTCTAACTGTTGTTTGGCTTGGCCAGAGCGAGGCCAACTTTTGCCCCTGCAACCTCAACGAAAAGGTTCAGATCTGCGGCTCGAATGGCATTACCTATACGAATCGTTGTGAATTTGAGTGTACACAGCGCGAGTACAAGGGACTGGGTCGTAAGCTCAGCATACGCAAGATGGGACCCTGCTAAGGTGGCGCCAGCATCTACGGCTATATTTTCCTAATCAGCGTGTATAAATCTAATTATAAAGACGTTTCTCATATTTTATACATATTTTTAATGACATTTTGTTTAATAAATTGTTACATATTTTTTAAAATTCTGTTTCCATGAGATATTTACAAAATATATTGTTATAAAATATCTTCGAACTATTTTTGATTATTATTAAAATATATTTTATATATAAATGATTTTTTTTTTTGTTTTTAAATATATAAAATTGTTTTTAATCTATATCGATATAATTCAATAATAAAATATATTGCTTAATGTTATAGAATTATAAACTTTGATTTATTTGTAATTTATATATATACTAATAATTTTTTTTATAATTATATAAAATATAAATTTGTAATTTTTTTTAGAATTTTTGAAGACCTAAAAATCCCAGCTAAAGTATTTTCTTCTTTCCTGCTCTATAAATCATTTCTTATCGATATTTATGCAAAGTGGAAGCGGAAAAATTGATGGATGTGCCAAAGCGTGGAAACAGGTTTAATTTGATTGGGTCTGATGGGTCTGGCCGCTTTCATTGAGGCGCGCTGAAGCGTGTCGCCGATTTATCGTTGTGTTCGTATGCAAATATTGCCATTAAATGCTAATTAAAAGCACCAACAACTACGTCACCAACTTGTTTGAGCTCGATGCCATTGATATGGGTGGGAGGGGAGAGGGCGGCGACGGTGCGCCGCTTAAACACTCGCCTCACGTACATCCATCAAATTGTGCATAATTAATCGAGAGACAGGTCCAATGCCTGCAGGGGGCTGGATGGGCTCTGCCATTTGTGGATTTGTGGACTGTGATTTATGAACTGCATTACGCTTTCGTTAATTGAATCACGATACGTGCGACACAAATGTCAAATTACTCAAATGCCACCGTGCAACATTCTGCGAGCAACACAAAATACAATCGGGGCACATTTATGAGGCACGAACATCGCCAACCTGCGCTGAGCAGAGCAGAGCAAAACGGGACTACCGTTTGTTTTATGACAGGAAGCTGTCAGCCGCGTTAAATGAAGGGAATGTTATTAAAAAGATAATGCGCCGTCGACTCGGTTGATGACATGTGCTTTTATCTCTATGTACTCATGGCTCAACACTGTGCAGAAAAATGAAATCAACATAAAAGTTGCCTATGGTACAGTTGGGAGCATGAAAATGTCAGGTTCTGCATAAAAGCGAGCCTACAAATTACTTAATGTTTCTTTTTTTTTGTATCAGTGAGTGATATTGCTTAGTAAGTTGCTTGGAGCGGCAATTAATCCACTTTCCCTGAATCTAGTTTTATTGCTGCTATTTTGAATAATTTATTTTTTAGTAATCTGCTTTGAATTTTACATTTTATATGACATGCGCGTATTTTATTAATCTTTTTATAAATACATATAAATACATTATAAATACATGACAGAAAATAATGAAAGAATATGAATAAATATAAAAATATTTGCTTTAAATTTCAGATCAAGAATATTTATTTAAATTTGCTAATATATGACATAGGCATACATTATATACTTCAATTTAATTTTTAGTATTTTTTAATTTTATTTTTTTATATATATTTTTTAACTTCATTGAGTTTAATATTTACTTTATTATATACATATATTACATTTTATTTTATATTTTATTATTTTTATTTCCAAAAATTTTATTTAATTTAATATTTACCTAATTTTTTTAGTATTTTATTTATTCAATTTTTTTTTATTTTATTTTGTTTTGTTTTGTATTTATTAAATTAAATTAAATTAAATTTTCTTTTCTCTTATTTTTTGTTTGTTTTTAAAATTTTTTTTTTTTACTTTATTGAATTTTATAAAAAAAAAATTTTTTTTTTGTTTTTGTATTTTTTTTTTTGTTTTATTTTATTTTATTTTATTTACTATATCAACCATTTCTGTCTTTGAATAAATATACATGACTAAAATCAATTGGATTATAAGCAAATAAAATTTTATCACATTTTCAAAAAATTTTCCAGCTTTCATACCACTGTGCCATTTTCTACAACAGCCAAGTTAAATGCATAAATTTACTAAGCTAGAGTTACATAATATGTAATTGTTTATATTTGCATTCTTTTCAATCAGTCACAGTTTGGCATTTTAACAGCTGCTTCGCATTATGACTTCAAACACAGCTGTGCACCTTAGCCACCGTCTCATATTATATATATGTATGTATGTAGTATATTTAGTTTTATCTCTTCTTTTTCAAATGGGCAGTCTGCTTTTCTACTGCCTACTTTTCGGGTAACACACAAATAGGATTATGACTTTGCTAAGCTTTCGAGACGTAATAGGTAGATATATACGCAGAGCTTATAAGGATTATTTATTTACATGCTATTATTGGACTCTCGCAGAGATGAAATACAATTTGCATTGACTTAACCTCGTTTAGTTGAAGTATTTAATATACGCTTGAATATTTAATAAATATAATCTTCGAGCACCCGACTTTTGCACATGGATTAGCATTAATCTATCAAGGTAAATTGGATGCAATAAAAAAGTAACAACAAATACAAATACGAGCGTGTTTGTACTAATGCTTAGTATAGACCTGTTCGTTGCATAGACAGCGAGTCCCATATTACACATTAGCAATCTGTACGATTGACAACAAAGCTGGCGCGCTGTTGTTGTAATCGATTTTGATAACAAGTGTTTGATAAGCGTAAACCTATTCACGACATCAAATGGCTACACAAATACCAATCAAAACACGAATCGGCCGTGTGCCTTAGAATGGAACTGAACCAATTTGCTGACGCTTAAGGGTTGACGGAGCTGAATAAAATGCGAGTAAATAGATATGAAAATCGAGAGAGAGAGAGAGAGTGCAAAAAATAACGAGTGTGCACCAAATTCGAATGCATACATCAAAGGGCCGACAGTTGAATACCCTATAATTATTATTATTTATGTTATATTTACTTGAACAATAAAATATTTAAATATGTATATGAATATAATGACAATTGTGTATAGGCCAACTCTTTATTCAAATAAAAGGAATTTTTTAAATGTAAAACTATATTAAAATTTAATAGAATACAATTTAAACGGAAAATAATTTTTGGGTTTTTTTTTTTTTTTTTTAATTTTTATAATATGTAAAAAAAAGAAAATATATATATTTTTTTTTTTTAAAATAATATTATTATCCCTGAAGCTCAAATAAGAACTTGATTATTATTATTATTTTTTGTTGTTGTTTTCGATGGCAAGCTACTAAATATAAACGATGTCCGTCATTAAGACCACAGAGGTACCAATAAATAATCTATAACCTTTACAAAAATCAAAGAAATCATAATTACAATTTCAATATATTTATATAGAATTTTTGATTTAGATATTTTCCTTTCGTCCTTAGCATTCTGTAAGGGTTACAATACCCTTTGCCAAGCTGTTTGTTTACAAGACCCAAAACATATGTTTGCAGAGCGTGTATTAAATATGAATCAGATATTCGCAGCGTATTAATCAAAGTATTTTCTTCACATTTTTTCGCCGACTTCTGATGCCGCCTGAACAGTTTTTTTTTTCTTCTTTTTTTTTTTTGTATGCCAAACTCGCGTTGCTTTGATATTATTAAATATTTACATATTAAATATGTACTCGTAGGCTGCTATTTATTCATGTGGCTGCGGCCGCTGGGATCCAGGGAAAAAAAAAAAAAAAAAAATTATAAAAAAGCTCTGAAAATTCCTTGGCAAGGGTCCGATCTGGGCATACGGAATTTCTTGCTGTTGTATATTTTTGGCGTTGTTTTTGTCGTTTTCCGACGCAATTCAATCAGTGTACGACATCAACGTAAGCCAACTCCTGGCGCCCTGACAGACAAACAGACTGACAGGCAGACAGGCGGACAGGCGGACAGGCGGACAAACGGACAGGTGACAGGCGACAGGCGGTATTAGTAGGCTTGGCTCAACAAATAAATAAAGTTCAGGTTTATTTTTTGCTCAACAAATTTAACCTGTTTTAAATACATGAAAATTGATAGACAGCCACACGTGTGAAGCACTTGTAGCACGCCTCAAACACGCTAAGGAAAACTCCAAATCCAATTTGAATGTCAAACCCTTTTCACGTCAATTCCACGATGTTCAACAGAATTTAATAAGTTGCGCAAAAAATGCTGCAAATGATTCGGGGTTAACAGCGAAAAGTTTACGGGCTTTCATCAAGTCTGGATATGAAGTTATTTTACATATTTCGACATTTTTTCTAGTTCCACTTGTATGCCTCTAACATGTGCACCTATGCCCTAGGCAGCTGGCTGGTACTAGTATATACATATATTATGCAAGCAGCGGCTGCTGAACAACAGTGTTGCAAAATGTTTTAATTAGCCAAACCAGCAGCCAGCAGCCCACTAAAAAGAGGGCGTGTGCAGCTGATACAGCTCCCACGCCCCCTTTGCCCACTATGCACGTGGGCGCGGAAGCGACGGGCTTTTCCATTTTAGTGCACGGTCACGCAGCGGAAGTTGGCGATGGAAGGTGAACGAAATGAAAATGCAACGTGCTAAGTGGCGAGAGATGCGAAAAGGCCGACGTGACAGCACCACGAACAATCTGATAAACACGCAAAAATAAAAAAAAAAATAAAAAAAGGTAAAGGTCGCCATAGTCTATGGACATTTTACATAACCAGGCACAGTTGCTTAACCAGCTACAAATTTAAAACGGGATTTTTGAAGTTATCGATGGAATTTTCATTTGCATAGAGAGGACTTCGTTTAAAGTTACTTTAGAATAATCCAAGTCAAGCTTGCCTTATTTATAGGGTATCTCAAGTCAATCAAAGAGTGCTTTGTATTGATCAATGAGCTAATATTTAAGCGATTAATGAAATGAAGGAAACACATGTGTAAATATAAATAAAAAGCTTATTGTGTGTAAGCTGAGTATACAAGTTAATTCAAATCATATTCTAATTCTAAGTATGTGAAAATGTTAATTAATTATTGTATAAATTTGTGAATCAGCTGTCTTTAATGAGCAGAGAATGTGTTATAATAATATTTCAATTTATTTAGATTTAAGGTTTATTGTTAAATGAACTTCATGTTCAAAAATATAATTTTAGTAAATTCAATTGAATGCCAATTTTTGTATTAAATTAATCCATATTAGACTTGATCAAAACATCTATACAATTAAGTAGAGGTTACAAAAAATTATCTAGATTTAACTTTGATTTTCAATTCCTTTTCGAATCGAATGTGTTCTTCGCAAGCCGAAGGCCCCAGTTGCCAGTGCTTAATTCCTCAGTTCTTTTAATTTTAGATTAATTTTAATCTCTAATAAGTAAATAAATTTATCCTTCAAGATAAGAATTTATTGCGCTTTCACTGCCCATTTTAATTTATAATAATGATTGCGGCTTTACTGCTCAATTTAGTCCAATTCAAGCGGATTACACAAAATACTTCAATTCAAACATACTTTGGTATTTTGACGCTGTCTGTGGTTTCCCTTCAGTTGTCAGCAATTGTAGTTAAATTTTAATGTTGAATAATTGATTAATTAGCCAAGAGCTGAGCATGCCTTGTGTGCTCTGTGCCCTGTGGATGCCAGCTAAAAAACTTTTCTCTGCAACTTGTTAATTGTTTTTGTCAAATGTATGTAATTACCAAGTTTGAGCTTAGCCTGCGCGGAAATTGTTTACTTTTATACACCCCACATAAAGTAGTTGGATGCAAGGGGGTATATTGGTTTAAAAAAATTTATATATGTATGTATGTATATATGATATCAGACTGGAGTCTGATTTTTGGTATTAATTAAGTATTCATTAGTCAGCGAGTCTCTGAATCTGATAGCCTATTGAAGTAAGTGAATTCCTTATTATTGTGACACACAAGACGACAATGCTCGACGCAGGGTATCCTTTAGTCCGGCACCGTTAGCTATTACACGCTTGTTTACCTTTAAGACTGTGCTTCTGTAGCAAGCATTTAATATTCTCATTCAGTCGAGCAACACAAACAGAACAATGGCGACTTATTATTCCTCTCGGATGTTGTCCTAGTCACAAAGGTCGCAAACAATAATTTCAAATGCATTTCATTTTTCACTGTTTAATCAGTTGGTTTGCGCCATGTCCTTTGTATAAGCCAAATAAATAGTATATATGAATCTACAATGTAATAACTGATGAACGCGTCCATCTGGTAAAATATTTGACTTGCACTCTATGGATTAGTAAATAATCAGGCCGGAACCTAGTATTTGCAAGCAGCGTTGGGGACTATAAAAAGCCGTCAAGATCCACCGGATGCAGCAAAAACCGTTCACAGCTTTATGGAGTGCGGATGGCTTCGAAACTATTGAACCTAGTCTTGTGCTTGTGCTGGCTGCTTGCCCAGACGCAGGCAGATTCGGCAAAGGATAAGAACGCAAAGGAGGTGGACGACAACTGGTGGCGTAATGAGGTCTTTTATCAGATCTATCCCAGATCCTTCAAGGACAGCAATGGCGATGGCATTGGTGATCTGAAGGGCATCACCTCCAAGCTGCCATACTTTGTGGAGACAGGCATCACGTCCATTTGGCTGAGCCCCATTTACTCGTCGCCCATGGTGGACTTCGGTTACGATATTTCTGACTACAGGGACATTCATCCGGACTACGGTACTTTAGATGACTTTGATGAACTTATCGCCGCCGCCAATCAGCTGGGAATCAAGATCATTCTTGACTTTGTGCCCAATCACAGCTCTGACCAACATGACTGGTTCAAAAAGTCCGCTGCTAGAGTCCCTGGCTACGAGGATTTCTATGTCTGGGAAGATGGCACTGAAGAGAATGGTGTACGCAAGCCGCCCAACAATTGGGTGTCCGTGTTCTCTGGCTCCGCCTGGGAGTGGCACGATGAGCGGAAACAATTTTATCTGCGTCAATTCACCAAGGGACAGCCCGATCTGAATTATCGTAATCCTGCTGTGCTGCAGGCCATGGACGCTGTTCTGACCTACTGGCTGAAACGGGGCGTGTCCGGCTTCCGCATCGATGCCGTCATCTATGTCTATGAAGATAAGCAGCTGCGTGACGAGCCATTGAGCGGAGCCACAAGCGATCCCAACTCCGTTGACTATCTGGACCACATCTATACTAGAAATCAAGAGGAAAACTACGGCCTAATTCAGCATTGGCGCAAACTGCTCGATGACTATTCGGCAAAATATGGAGGACCAGCGCGAATTATGATGACCGAGGGCTATGCGGAGCTGTCGCAAGTAATGGAGTACTATGAGGACGAGAATGGCGTGCAGGGCTCCAACTTCCCCTTCAACTTTGACTTTATAACCGAGCTGAACTCAGAGTCGTCGGCTCCGGACTTTGTCTTCACTATTCAGAGATGGTTGACCTACATGCCGCCTGGACACGCGGCCAACTGGGTGATGGGCAATCATGACAATCCCCGTGTTGCGTCCAGATATGGTGCCAAGTCGGTCGACGCCATGAACATGCTATTGATGACTCTACCGGGCATTGGCATTACCTACAATGTGAGATGCCCTAAAGTACTTTGAGTTCTTTGTTTGTTTCTATTCGATTTCTGGTTTCTTGTTTAGGGTGAGGAGCTGGGTATGGAGGACTATCGTGACATTAGCTTTGAGGATACAGTGGATCAGCCCGCATGTGAAGCTGGTAAGGATGACTACAAGTGGATTTCCCGCGATCCCGAGCGCACGCCAATGCAGTGGAGTGACGAGAAGAATGCCGGCTTCTCCACGGCCGATTCCACCTGGTTGCCAGTGCATCCTAACTATCAGGAACTGAATTTAGCCAATCAGCAGTTGGCACCGTCCAGTCACTATAAGGTCTACCAGTCCCTGATCAAGCTGAGGAGCTCTAAGGTGCTAAAGGACGGTACATATACCGCCCAGGCTCTCAATAGACGTGTTTTTGCGCTCAAGCGGTAAGTGGAATACGATTTTGATAGTGCTATTTCCATCCTTTATATTGGTCTCCGTCAACTGCAGCGAGCTGAGGGGCCAGCCCAGCCTGTTGACCGTCATAAACGTGAGCAATCGCACCCAGCAGGTGGATGTCAGCGACTTTATCGATTTACCCAATCGCCTTACTCTTCTGGTTGTCGGAGTCAATTCCCAGTACAGAGTGGGCGATCGTCTCAAGCCAGATGAAATCAGGCTGACGCCCTACGAAGGTTTAGTTATACAGCTTAAGCCCAGCAAATAACTTAGCATATTGCGAATGCTACAAATAAAGTTTATTATGAAAAATGTACAAACGCTTTTAAGCCGGGAGAGTTTGGAGATTGCCAAATGGCTTTGCTGACCTATAACTTCTATCAAAAACTAGTTTTGGGGCTTTAGGTATTTCGGGAATGTTCGTCAAACAACATGAGATCATATATTCGACTTAATCATTTTATAAAGTAAATGGCATTGATTTCAACAAAACAAACTTGAAAAATTTTAATAAAGCTAATTTTACTGATAACATGCCTTGATGTAGTTCGACTCAGTTCTTGATCGGTTTATGTTTTGTATTTCACACGAAGAATATTCTTGTTCTTATTATTTTTGATAAGACTTTTACTATATAGTTTGGCTTTCATTTAAAGAAAAAACATAAAAAAGACTAGAAATTTAAATTTAAAGTGAAGATAACACAAATTACAAAATAATTTCATTTAAAAGTAATAAAATTACATCAACTATATTCTGGTGAAAATCTGTGTTGATAGAGAGAGAGAGAGAGAGAACCTTCAGCATTGCATTTTTATTGTATTAATTTAAGCTTTACCATTATATATAATTTAAAATTCATTTGAATTACAATTTAATTACAATTCCCATTGCTTATTTACACTTGAAAGCGTTTTGCACGTTTTAATTGAATTGCGAGCATTTGTTGTTGCTGTTGCTGTTGATGTACCCACCCAGCCCTCGAGCCCCGCCCACTCCCATACGTCTCCTTAGCTGTTGCTGTCGTCGCATTTTCGCCAAAATATATTTCATAACTGTCAGCGCGTCTGGGCAGCTATAGATAAATTTGCCGTTGAGCTTAATTAAAAGCCCTTTGTTGTTTACTATATTGGAATGGTGGATGCTGTGAGCGACGGCGTGGACTTTGAGTGGAACGTAAGCTTGTGCAAGCATTTATCAGCTGCATCACACACAGTTCTCGCAGCTTCCAGTTGATCACGGCTGCCGAAGGCGAAGCGACGTGTTGCGAGCCGTGAGAGTTGCAATTTTGTTCCAATTTGTGTTTACATATTTTGTGATAGGTAATGAGAGGAAGAAAGAGAGAGAGAGAGAGAGAGAGAGCGAGCAAGAAAGTGATATGAATGCTAGCATTAGTCTTGTATAGTAGATAGAATGGGAGAGAGAGAGAGAAATAGGAAGAGCGTGATTTAGCAAACGAGCGTGCCAGCACAAAAGAATTGAAAGAGAATAAGCTTCGGCAAAATATAAATTTATCTCTGAATGTGTTGCTAAGAGAAAGTTTGTTCCTTACAAATGCGGCTTTGCAAAAACTGAGTTATAATTAAATAGAAGTATTACGCAAATATTATAAGGTATAATAATAGGTATAAAACAGAATTTAATTTGCTTGCAATTGTAATACGAATTTGTGTTTCATTGGCTGTCCTCTTTTTTCCAATTTTAATTATTTATAATCAGATGTGCTGTGTTATTAAGAGTTAATGTGGTTTGGAAATTATTATAATTACACAACGGGCGATTGAGAAAAAGTTGCTTAAAACACAGCTCCGTGCGGCTAGCTGCAATAGTCGCTGGAGTCAAGATGTTCGCAGCGCAACAGTTAAATCGAGCAACTCAACTAATTCTAATTTGCAGCCTGCTGTGGATAGAGGCGCCCGGCCTGAGCATGTCCAGCTTGGTGAGCAGTCAGACGGAGGACTTTATTGACTGGTGGCAGCACGCGGTCTTCTATCAGATCTATCCCAGATCCTTCAAGGACAGCAACGGCGATGGCATTGGGGACTTGCAGGGCATCATTTCGAAGCTGCCGTATTTGGCCGAGACAGGGATCACGGCCACTTGGCTGAGTCCCATTTTCCAGTCACCCATGGTCGACTTTGGGTATGACATATCGGACTACAAGGCCATACAGCCGGAATATGGAAGCATGGCTGACTTCGAGCAACTGGTGCATAAGGCCTCCAGTCTGGGTATAAAGATCATCTTGGACTTTGTGCCCAATCACAGCTCGGATCAGCATGAGTGGTTCAAAAAGTCGGTGGCTCGCGATCCCGTCTATGAGAACTTCTATGTCTGGGCAGATGGAAAGAAGGATGAGCAGGGAATACGCCAGCCACCAAACAATTGGCAGTCAGTGTTCTACGGCTCCGCCTGGGAGTGGAACGAACAGCGACAGCAATACTATTTGCACCAGTTTACCAAGGAGCAGCCGGATCTGAACTACCGCAATCCGGCAGTGGTGCAGGCCATGGATGAAGTGCTGCTCTTCTGGCTGAACAAGGGTGTGGCTGGCTTTCGCATTGACGCAGTGAATCATTTGTATGAAAACGAAGACCTGGCCGATGAGCCACTCAGCGGCAAGACGGCGGATCCGCTCTCCTATGAGTACACCAAGCACGTCCACACCAAGGACTTGCCCGAGGTGCTGGCCATGGTGCAGCACTGGCGGCAGCTACTAGACGACTACAGCGCCAAGCATCCGGATGGTGTGACACGCATCATGATGACGGAGGCCTACGCTGACCTGCATGTGCTCATGGACTACTACGAGACAGCCGCTGGAGTGCGCGGCTCCCAGCTGCCCTTCAACTTTCATTTTATCACGGATGTGGACGGCGACTCGGATGCTCGTGACTTCGTCTTCAATGTGGAAAAGTGGCTGATCTACATGCCGCGCGGGCACGCTGCCAATTGGGTCATGGGCAACCACGATAATCCGCGTGTCGCCTCGCGCTTCGGATCCGCCAGTGTCGACGCCATGAACATGCTGCTGCTGACGCTGCCCGGCGTCGCCGTTACCTATAATGTAAGTACGTCCGCATTTACAGCCGAAAGGTCAAGGGGTCGAGCAACTGTCGATTATTATCCTTATACTCGTTCACAAATTGAAAAGAGTATATATAAAAGTGTATATATGTATATATAGCTTGAGTATCATGTCCGTCCGTGGTTTCGCCTGTGCTAATTGAGCTATTATTAAAGGTTTCTCGGCATCTGAAGTAAGTATAGTATAATATAGATGCTACTATATGATACAGACTTTTGACTTGAATGTGATTCAATAGATTTATCAATACATAACCTAATTAGTTACATGTATATATATACATAATTTTTAGTCTAGCCTCAATAGGATTGGTAAGTGATTCTCGATCGATAGTCATCATATAAGTCTGAATAAGTCATCATATATTATATGAATGGTCTCACTTGTTTTATTTTTTCCTTGCAGGGGGAGGAGCTGGGCATGGAGGACTATCGTGAAATTAGCTGGGAGGATACTGTCGATCCGCCAGCTCGTAATGCTGGCAAAAAGGATTATAAGAAAGTCTCCAGAGATCCAGAGCGTACACCCTTTCAGTGGAGCAATGCCAGCAATGCAGGTGAGCTGTACTTTAAAACTTTAAGTCAATATCATATTTAATGATTTATTCGCCGTCTCTAATATTCTCTAGGTTTCTCTACTGCTGCTAAGACCTGGCTGCCTGTAAATCCCAACTACTTGGTGTTGAATCTGGCGGCGCAGCAGGAGGCTGCCAGGAGTCACTACAAGGTGTACAAGGCGCTGCTTGAGCTGCGCAAGTTGCCGACCTTAAGACGCGGCAGATTCAACATCGAGGCGCTGTCCCGGGCCGTGTTTGCCCTCAGACGGTAAATATAGATTGTTCGCATGTGGCACATTCATCTACTATCCGGTTTATTTAGCACTCTTAAGGACTATGAGACAATCGTAACCATCATCAATGTGAGCGCCAAGGAACAGCTGATAAATCTAACAGACTTTATTAACGGGCCACACACACTGATTGTGGAAGTGGCGGGCGTTGACTCCACCTATAAGCCAGGGTAAGTCTTGTCTGCCTTGAATCATAACTCCCAGAATTGGAATACATACGCCTCCGCCCTTTGCTTACCCATCCACAGACAAGCCCTATCCAGCAGCGCCCTCGCACTGGCCCCCCACGAGGGCCTCATCTGCAGGCTGATCGAGGCATAGGAATTTCCAGAGCTCCATTAATTGCCTTGTGACACTGTCACGAGCTTGAACGAATATAAAAAATATTAAATGAACTGAAAATTAATGAATCGAATTGCTCCCTCTCTCAAATACAAATGAATTCTGAAAATCTGAACTTCCTTTGCGACATTAGCTGAATAAAAAAACTAAAACAAAAAAAATAAAAAAAATAAACCGTCTGCTGGCCATGGCGTCGCCATTGACATTTCGCTCTGGCAGCTTGCCCAAGCGAAGTATAGAGTCATTTAGATGCCCTGGCGGACATTAGAGATGTGGCAGGGGATACTCTACTTGGGCAGTGAAAATATTATTGAAAATATAATTATTGTGAGCTGCAGATATTTATAATAAAATATTTGATAATTAAAAAAAATCGGTAAATCTAAACTATTAATATTTCTTAACAAATAAATCTAGAATATGAACCCTTATGATTTTTATAAAATTCACAAAAAGCATAAGCTTTACATGATTTTAAATATTGTTATACATAAAGAGTTTACAGTTATGCTTGTATAATGCAACAGTAAATAGTCGTTGGCACCTCGCAATTTATTTTTTGCGCTTCTGGTTTGCCCGTTCGTATAATTTTTCATGTGGCTGGGCGCACGAGCACAAAGATTTATGAAGCACAACGCACAGATTTGCGAACTGTCGCTTTACAAATGGCCATGGGTGTGGCCAAGGAGGCGGCAGGGCTGGGCCATGGACTGGTAGCGACAAGAGGACAAAGGTTCACTTTAATCAAAAGTTGAAAAGTTTCAAATGCCACTGTGTATGCTAAAGTAACGAGCAGGATGTTCCTTGTCCAATTTGCCATGACCATAAACTTGCTCCCTGGCAATCATTTGAGCATTTTCCATACAGCGTCAATAAGTTTGACGCTTAGCAACGACGACACATCAAATGCTGCATGGCATGTCATCATAAATATGGCTTAAAGGCATATTTGAAAATTTTTACTGTTGCAGAATAATGCGAAAATTCTTATCAAATTGCTCTGCTCGCATTCAAGGTTCGAGTTAACCTCTTGCATCTAAAATTTCAATCTCAAGCGCAAGTACATGACTTTTCTTTAAATTTGATTACGACTGATGAACTCAGATTCAACAGTCACGTTACAAACGTGGCCATCAAATCAGCTCTAGGTTCACAGGGTTTAACTGCCTCTACACTAACTGGGTTGTCTGCGTCAGCCTCTGTCTCATGGTTATCATCAAGTTTTACACTTCAAATGGAACTGTTTCAGCTCAGGTAATAGTTTATGACGCTTTCACTGCGCAGATAAACGAGCTCTAATTCCTAAACGTAGTTCAATCAACTATGACTCCACTCATTCGGGCATTTGTGACCTCAGCCGCCTTTTTAGGGGATCCAATGTAATTTCAATTGTAATTTACAGGATTTTGATATCGCTATAAAAATATAATCTGTTATACCAGATTGATAAATTTCAATCAGCTGCGCTTTATTACTTGAAATAGACTTTAATGTTTCTTGTGGAAATAATAAACAAAATAATACAGTACAAATTTTTCTAAAAAAAATATATATATTGAAATATTTATACTATGCAATTTTCTATTTTATGTTTATTTATTAGACGTTAGAGCTAGAGTAGATTAAAATTAACTAACTGGGTCTCTCGGCTTGTTCCTGCAAATCTTGACACGCTTTGATGTTTCGCAGCTGTCCGAAAACTCTTTGCAAAGTATATACAATGAAAATCCAGGTAATCTGAAAATGTTCTGTGAAAAGTTATTAGGGAAATTCTTTTGCTTGTCCGATGGGTAATTTGAGGATTGGTAAGGCAAGCGAGAAACTAAAATGGAGTGAGAGCAATTAGCTAAGACGCATTATTAAGATTTTTCTGCATGCCATTGGGCATCCATTCATTATTCAACTTTTAATGGTAATTGCTTTTATTTACTTTTACATATTTAATGCTCTTTGGTTTCAGTGATTTTTTATTTATGGCCAACAGTCACAAAAGTGACAAAAATTGGCAGTTGCAGCTTTCGCCCTTTACTGGTCTTGTTCTGAGCCATGGACCGGCGGGCATGAGGTTAATTAATTATATTTTTTAAGTTATTTATTCAATTAAAATTGTGTGTTCTCTTGCAGTGCTCAACGACGTCTGCTGCTCAAGCAGATCATCAAGTCATTCAATGTGGTGCTGGTGGCTCTGCTAATGTACAATTTGTGGCGTCACAAGTGGACGAAAGTGAATTTCAATTAGACATTTAGAGGCAATCATTAATTTCTGCTCACTGATTGATTGAGTCATTAATAAAGTCTACAATAAGAAGAAGAGAGCAAAAGAGCATTAGCTGAACTGTTTTCCGATTGTCATTTACAGATGTGATTGGCGGCCATCAAGTGGACGAATTAAGTGGATGCTAGATAGTATATATATGTATATATATGCATGTCTAATCGATCAGACATGTCAATTGAGCACTAAGGACTCGACTACAGTTTCAATTTATTGCTGAAATATATCCAATTCGCTTCATTTCGCAATTGCTTCGTATTAATTAGCTCGAGTGCAGTCGGAGTTTCCTAGTGGAATGGCAATAAAATTTCAATGCATTTCTTGCGCTGCTCTGTCGGAAAATGTCAACCATAATTCTTTTCCAATTTGCTAAACGGAAATTCCCATAGTTGCGCTAAAATAACGAATTTCCTTTCATACTTTGAATTCGCCGAGTGCAACTGTAACGCCGACGAAGTAACCAAGGACAACGCAGCTGTTGGCCAAATCCAGTTCCAAGATGGCAGATGTGAGGTGGCAGCTGCTAGTGTAAATTTAACGCTTTGCTGGGTGGCAAGTGGATATCCTTGTCGCCACACTGATTGCCGGAAGTTGACAGCGTGCCGTCGCTGCACATCGGAGCCACCAATAATATTTATTCTATTCAAGTGACGGCAAATTAATCGATGACCGAGAACTTAAAGCGGCGAGCATATCTGATTATTCGACTGGATGCACAAATGTTATTTAGAGCAGCGTAAACTCAGATAGTTTCGAATTGATAATAAATCGATGACAAAATTTACTCAACTCTTGAAAACTAATTGGGCTATAAATAATTGATTGATAAATTTCTCTCAAATTGCTTAAAAGCAATTTTAAAGTGAAACTACAAAAAATGTTTGTGTTTATCTGTGAAATTCCATTATTAAATATAAACAAATTATTTCTTTGGTTTATTACTGTAATAAATTATTCAAAGGTTCGCGACATTTAGCTTTTGTTTCAGTATATTCTCACTTTAAAAATTAATTTAATTTTTTAATTAAAATTAAAAAAATATTATTTGTTATAATAATATATTATAATAATATGAAGTATTATTATAATAAATAATATTTTTTGCTTTTTCATTATGAAGTATTATTACAATAAAAAATATTATTTACTCTGTCATGAAACTTTTGAATTAAATTTATAATAAATTATATATTATTTAATATTTATATTTATTATTTTTTAAAATTTAATATGAAGTATAATTATAATAAATATATTCTTATTTGAAATAATTTTATAATAAATTAAATATTATTTAATTTTTATTATTATTTAAAACAGATTTGTTACTTTTTTATTATACTTTTGAATTAATTTTAAAATAAGTTATATACATATTATTTAATTTTTATTGTTATTATTTATATTTTTAATTTATTTTGAAGTGTCATTAAAATGAATTCTATTTTTTAGTTTTTCATTATACTTTTCAATTAGTTTTATAATACATATATTATTGAATTTTTATTATTATTATTATTTTTTCTTTTTTGTAATTTTTTATTAAAATATATACCATGTTCAAAGAAATAAAAAAAATCGGTAGGAAAAGTTGGAAACTTGATTAAAATTGATTAATTTAACACAAATCAATTGATTGTGCTGTATTGCTAAGGCGGGGTAACAATTGGGCACAATGGCGTCGCAGTGTCTGGCGGCTGCTCTTTGATATTTACGGCGAAAATTCATGCAGCAGCACACACGTACAGGTTAAATCCTTTGAGCCTAACGTTGCGCAATGTTGAGTAGCTCTGGGAAAATTGGCAGGACGCGTTGTGCACCTTGATGTCTGCCCCGGCGGGGCAGCAGCTGAAGGCGGTTGCCGGGGTAGGCGCGGAAACAGGGAAACGGGGAACGTAGATGACCCAGCTAATTGGAATCTTCGGTCCAAACACAATTCTCGTTGCCAACTTTACTCAGCCCAGGCCTTTTCGTTCGTGTGTGTGTGAGTGTTTGTGTGTGTGTGTGTGTGTGTGTGTAGCGTTTGCTGTTTGTGGCAGAGCCATTTTGGCCATTTTGCCGCTGGCTTCATAAATTTTACAGACAGTCGCGAAACTGGCGCCGTCTTTTAACTGTTTTTAATTAAAATAAGAGTACT